TACTATTGGGAAGGCCGAACTGACCTCCCGATTCTTCTATTCGGTCATCCCATTCAGAAATGCTGACGTGCTATAATAAAACTAAAAGAGAATAGATAAAAAAGTGTTATTTGAGTGTTATGTTAAGTAGGTGCCGCTGATGTCGAGGACCTGCTCTCAGCGTCCAGGAAGCATTTGTCCAGCGAGCAGCTTCTTTTGCCCAATGCGGATAACATGTTGTTGATGTCGCCGGTAATCGACCAGTTCTCCAATTGAACAAAACAGTTGAAGTCGTACGGCTGCAGATCAGGAGAGTATGGTGGCTGAATCCAGTTCTCAATATTTTTTCGTCCAAATAGTGACGAATTATTTAAGCTACATGAGGTCCGGCATTGTCACGGGCAGTGATGGCCTTTTTTCAATTGTTTGCTACCATCCAATTGTCGATGTGATCGTCGATGAACTGACGACACAACTCAGCAGTGACGATTGTATTGTCCGACAGGGCTTCTAAAAGGCCACCCTAAAGATCCATTGCCATGCTTGTCATCCTGGACCCGTGTAACTCCTCCCACATAGTTCGGGTGGATCCTCATCTGCATCTATCCGAAGGAGACGCTTGTGACTTCGGGCTTAGCGTATAAACTCAGAGTGTTTCATCTTTGGTCCATTTCAACAGTCGCGGGTGACGGTCCACTGAGGAGACTGCTGCTGCGGGCATCAGTAGTAGTTCAGTACTGGACTTGTTCTTCTGTGAGAAGGTGAGGCACCCAAACGCACATCTACTTGACCATCCCCAGTTCTGAGTAAATCGGCCAGCATCTGTCGCAGGAATTCCGGTCTCGCGAGCAGGTTCGGCCATGGTCTAGTCTCACGTTCCGACACTTGACGCTCGATTTCACCAACTCGCTTTATGAGCAGGGTGAATATATGGGCGCCTTCTCGACCTGGGTTGTTCCGTTCTTCCTTCTTTGAACTTCTGCACCCAACGTGCCACGTTTCGCATAGAGAACGCCTTGCCGCTTAACTGGTAATCCAGTTCGCGATGAATTTGAGCTGCGGACTTTCTTTGTATAACTTCCAATTTAATAACTCCGCGCTGATCTTAATCTCGAGCTTCTTTTCGAGTTCTCGATTGTTCTGCAGGCATGTCGACCATATTTTGCATATTTGAAGCTAGAGAAACTAGCTTTCAGGCAACACAGAAACCCTCGACCGTAGTCCTTCTGTTTTTCCGCTATTAGTTAATTTATCTAAGCACTTTTGACGGAAGACCTAATATTATTGCCTTTTGTGCGCCAGAGTCAAAGAGAATAAAACTTTCTCATAGCTCTGTTCTTTGGAATTCCATGGATTTCCTTCAGCCGTCATCAGGAGTAGTTGAGAGGTTGGTTGGTCTACATTTTGATTTTCTGCCCTCATGTAGGTGTTATTTGAAAAATTCCCTTGTTCGTAGTAAGCGCTATTGTTTCGTGGACACGGCTTTGGTTCGCATTTCGATTGCGCTGGTTTCTAAAAGGCTTTTGTCCTCGAGTGCCATTCTGATCATTATTATGATTTCAGTGTTGTTTTGTTCCCTAGCATATCTATTATCTGATATATTATGGGATTGTGTGAGTTAGCATGTTCCGTTGGGATATTTTGTTAGTTTTTGTTACACAGGGAGGGGTGGTGTTCTTGACCGCACCTGGTACAGCCTGCTGGCAGTCAAAACTGTTGTGTTTCACTGATAAACATTTCCAATAGCCCCTCCCTCACTATTTCCGGCAGGTACTCGGGTCTGTGACCCTTCGGCAAGCCGCTAATATATGATTACCCTTGTGGCAAATTAGGCATCTCCAACTGTATTGTAGTTTCGTGATTTGAATTAGTTTGTCATGAATCCCCCAAATAGATACGAGACCTATGTGACTGAGCAAAAAGAAGGCCATGATCCACTAAACGCGCCACTACCTATCTGTTAGTGACACCCGACGTCCGACACCACCGCCCCCACCGCTCTTTACTCCCTTACCAAGGGTTGAATATGATTGGTGTTTCACCAGCAATTGTGGGCTACCTTAACGCGTGTTGAGAGGCTGCTTGCATGTCTCGGTCACTATCGTCTGCCGTACCGTTACACTGGTTGGTTTTTAATGCTTGCCCGATGTCCACAACAAAGCATTATATTTGTGAGACACTGCATGGTGCACATGCCCTGTCTCTCGTTTACTGTACTGCAACGTCGCTTGGTTCTGATGCTTGCCGTGCCATCACCATGATCGGCAAGGTACAGCACTTCGGGTCAAGTGGTGGCACCGTGCCAACTACTTTGGCCGTGGCGCACAGCGTGACCGTTAGATCTAATGTCGGCGTGTCCATCACTCAAGACTAGATTAAGGCAGCTTTGTGATAGGGCGGTGCGGTCACCAGCAAATGGCATGATATGGGAGCAGGGTGAATCGTGGCCGCTCTCGTTTTTCAGAGTGGAAGAGCTTTTGCCTTCTAAATTGGTTATAAGGACATTGACGACAGTGACATGTAACGACATCACTTGAAAGAATACATGGAAGTCTATATTCACCAGATTTTTCCTAAGCCTCAGTAGTCTACAGACAGAAAATGGGTTCAGGGGTAATGTCAGCTAATCCCTTTATCCAGTGCTTCACTGATACCAAATGCGAATGAACTAATCCCACTGCTCTACTGAGTAATCCGCTTCCCTTTCTCCTACTACGATGTTTCTAAAATTGCAATGTCGGAGACGGCGTCAGCAAGAAGGGATGACTGCGCTTTCGACTGCCTTGCTCTACCATTGGTGCTCGATGTAAGAAGAAAACAAGCAGAGGTGGAAAGGCAGCAGGTGGGAACGTCTGACTGCGAGCCTTCTGACTGCGGTGACATCATTTCTATCTAGTCTGCCAAGTATGTATATATTTCTGTCTGGTGCACGTCGCAGCAGCGATGGGACATTGCTTCCAAGAAATGATATGGGGAGCAGGAAAAAATACTATAGGGCTAGGCGATGAACAATTCAGTGCTCTTATCTTTGCAGAATCTGTCCCGGACTTACCGTTTCACGGAGCAGAAGGTTGGCTGGCTTGGGCGGGAAGCATTTGAAGATTTGATCCTCGGGCCGTGCGCGTGCTTCCTATTTCCCGCTATTGCTACCTCCACGCGACATATTGTTAGTTTCCCGATATCACTTCAGTAGACGTTTTATGTCCTTCTGTGTTGCAGCCTATTGCCAACGTTGCCGTCAAATTGTGGACACTCAGGTGCAAGATGCGTTGAGGTACTTCCTTCATCCTTCAGGTCATGTAGCACTATGAGCTATTCAAAAGCGGCTGCTACTATTCGACATATATTCCCGTTATCACGGTTCGTCATAGTTTTGGTACGGCTGCGTCGGTTCATCATAGTTTTGGTGAAGTTTGCTGCACTTTGTGCCGTCCTTGGAAGCGGTTCCTTCATCTACAATGTAAGTGAATATTCGATCAGGGTCTTATTAGTTTTGTAGCTGGGGTACGACTCGAGTGAAGAACAGACGGTTATTTTGCTGAAGAGCGATGTCGATGAGGGAGAGGTTGCATAGTACTACCTCTCCCTCTATAACGCCCCCTATAACCTCAATATCCAGCTGGCCTGCTCTATTTTTAGTTCACTGAAATGGGAGAAGTATTCTGAACACAAATAAATCGGTAGGAAACTACTGAAACCTCTATTCCGCTTTATTCTGACCTTTCACTGTGAGCCCACGTAAAGGGCCCCACAGTACCATTTCCCTGAATCGACTCACATGTGACATCCTCGACGGTACAACTGGTCCTCTCTCACCTTCCATAGATCATGGCCCTTGGAGGTAAGTGTAAAGCGCATTTCCAAAAAGCGCTACCATTGGACCCCCCCTCCCCGACATAAAACGGTAGAGCCATGTTTGAACCGCCCTTTTCCAGGCATTTTTCTTTCTCCAGGTCCATTGACTTAGGTGGCCCCAGACTACTTTTTAGGAAAAAAAGCGTGTGCTAGTACTCGTTGAACCCTTCAAGCAGACAAACAACAACCAGTATGATGAGCAGTATTCTCGACAACTTGCGGTGGAGAGTACAAACGTGCAGATGCGGCGGCTGTACATGAAACAGCCTTTCACCGATTCAGTGAGTTTTACTCTTCTGGACAACTCAAAAATACGGGTAATATAGAGAAACCCCATGTCTCCACGGACACCGACTGCCGCGGAATCCAGACAGCTACACTCGAGATCCCTGAGATCGGGTAGGCGTGGCCGCATTTTTCAACTTACCCTCAAGGCGTCTACGCTTCTGATGCGATATTTTCATCTCCACACAATCGTTGTCTCTGTCCAATACAGAACAAGATGACAGTTGTCCCAGACTGGAATATTCCACCAGTAACTAGTTCCCTACAGTGTTCAAATGCTCCGCCTACCCGATCTCAGTTATCTCGAGTGTATCTTAGCGCGGAGAGGGGAGTTCCCGCGAAGCCATGTATTTGTGAACGCCACGATGTCTGCGTGTCCGTATA